ACGTCTCGAGCTGATGAGACATCGACGAGGATTACTACCTACACCTTCCACCCTCTATTACGGACTTTACGACGCTTTTTTGTTAACGACAGTAACTGTTTTAGAGTTACCGGATAGTTCAATTTGGCCGGGTATATATCTTCGAGGATATAAAATTGTTTATTAAATTACCATTGTACGGCAAGATCGATCTTTACGGTCTACGCTCGCAGACGTCCGGGTTCCTGTTTCGTGGAGGACGTTACCGAAATACCGGTCCGAGTGCTTTCTTTTTCTCGTAAACGGGTTGTTCTACTACCTGTGTAAAATATTTTAAAGGGTGATCCCGCGAGTTACGATGGAAATCGAGAAGAATGATTTCGCTGCGACGATTTTCTCTTTAAGTTACGAACCATTCGAAATCACCCCGATTCATTAATAATTTCTGCTGCGAACAAAGATAATCCTTATCCTTGGTTTCCGTCGAACCGTTGTTTGTAGAATCGACCTTTGAAACAGCTGACTCGTGTAACTAAATATTCTGTATAAAAGGGCGACGCATGCGCCAGAGTCCCGCGTATCAGCGTGGGGCGTCCATCGGGCGAACGTTATAAATCCGAACTATGATCGCACAGGGGCGTCGCGTCGCCATCGTGGTTCAAAATTATAATGTCCACCCGGTAGACACCCTACGCCGCTGTGCGGGACTCCCGCGCATGCGTTGCCTGCCCCCGCTCCTTGCGTAGCGACTTTTTCTGAAACCCCTTTTCTCTGGCCCTGTCTGAAACTATCCGGTAGGAATGGGAGGGAGAGGGGAAGGGGTGTAACGTCCGGAGAGTCCCACGCTCCGTACATTTCGTGGCAACTCTGATCATAACCTCGTACTTTCCTAGTTCCCGTCGAACAGATGGCAGCGATTCGTTTGCCAATCAGAGTAGACACGAAATAGCGTGCATCGGTTCCGTTCGTCTCGTCGTGCTCGCCGGATCGCGTCACGCTACAAGAGAAGCGGAGAACCCTGCCGGGTTCCAACGTGGAACGTTCGAATGCTATAGTCGCGAGCTACGGACCGATGACACGGCGCGAAGAAGACGAAGAAGAGAAAGAAGAACGGAAACCGGCTCATTGAAGCGCCGACTTCAAAAGGATACGCGCGAACGGGGAAGTGGAATTTTCATTATCGGAATACCGGTCGCTGTCGGTAAACCTCTTACTGCTTTGATAAGCGCATCCCCTCGCCTGGGCGTGTTCGCATCTCGCTAAAGAGGACACAAGAAAGAGGGAATGAAAATAAGAGGAATACGGGGAAGGAAAAAAGGAAACGATCGTGTAAATTGAAGCTTCCTCTCCTAGCCAGCCGAGTTTTCGCCGACATGCGTCTTTCGCGGTGCAACCGTCGACTCGCGTACGTGATTCACGACCACCCTTGGAGCTAGCGATGGTGTTCCATATGAATATGTAGAAAGAAGTATTACGAAGGGCAAAAGGGGAAGTCGAATCTTTATTGCTTACTCTAATAAGCATGGGTAACTTTGATATTCGGGTGCCGTACAATTTTTGCTTCGACGAATCATAATTTTGTTTATAACAGAAAAAATCATGGCCATTGTGTCTAGTTAAGAATAGTATTTTATTTAATACTAGTTTTATTAATAGTGTAGTTTTGTAGTATATAAAATAATAAATAGTATGTATTTATAAAAAGTTGGAATTACGGTATAAAACTCTAGATATTTTATTAAAACATAAACAAAATAGAAGAATATAAAAATTCTATACGTTTCTGCCCGAAAACAAACCAAAGGCACCGCAATTGGTCGCTCCACAGTAAGTGGCCCCGCTACCCTGCGGGAGGCTAGAAACGGTGTTCTCTGTTCGCTTTGTAACAGAAAAAACTTATCGCCAGAGTCAGAACCTGTACTTGATCGTTAACGCATGCCTATTCGCATTACTCTTTGAAGCCTAGAGTCGTCTCCGACGAACCGGTTCAAATTTGGAAACCGGATTTTGTCCCGATTCAAAGCCGTCCGAATCCCGAGATTATCGCGCGATCACCGAATTAGAACGTTCATCTCGCTCGAGATAGCTGCGAAATTATTGCCGAATCGATCGCGGGAGAAAGGTGTGCGTGCGAAACGGTGCGCCGAAAATCCGGCTGTCAGAGGGACGTCGCGTCGGTGAGTAGCTTGATTTATGCAGTTCTGGTCCGCGGTGGCGTGGCGTGTGCGATCGTTCCGCCGCGGATCCTGGAATTTCTGTTTAAAAAACGCGTTCGGCCCTCGTTTTCGAAAACAAACCCCGGCCGTGTTCCCGGGAACGTGGGGATTATAAAAATTGTTTTCACGCGCCGGCGACCGTCCGTTTAATGCCCGGCGAGCCAGCCGCACCGAGCGCCGTCACTTTCGCCGGTTAATTTTTAACAATGACGCGTCACGCGCCTCTTACGCTTCGCTCCGCGTCGCTCCGCGTCGACGAGAGTTTTTCCCCGCCGAGAAAATGGGGGAAATTAATCGGCCGCGAGTGCCTCTTAAAGCGTCCTGCGGCAAACATCGCTGTCTACGGTTTCCTGAAAACACTTTCGCGCGCGAGAAACCGCACCGCGACTCGCACCGCCGCACGGTGTTGCGATTAATGCTAATTAGATGCGCTAAACTTATGATGTAGTAGAGAAAATTCATAAAAAATAGATGCTCGTCGTATGAAGCAACATGTATGCAATAAGAATATTAATGTTTCTCCGTCGGTATTATTGCTAAAGTCAGTTTTATCAACACATATTAATTAACATTTTAAATAAACGTTGCATTGAATTTTTTCAGGCAAGTTCTCATTTGGGATTAACATGAACTGATATTATTAAAATCAGTTTTGTATTCGCATCTTTATGCCTTAAAATACACTGTTACGACACAAATTAGCGACGAAGCTACGTTTGATTGTTTTAATTAAAAACAGCTGAAAGTAGGTTATAAACGCCAATAAACGAAAAAATGTTGTATATGAAAATATATAAATTTTTTATACACATTTATTTTTAATTTCATTTAATTCGATACAATTGTATTTTATTTTGGCCTATTTTATTATTTCGGTTTTAGGTTTCGTTAAGTAATAAACATAGTACGACTATTACGGTGTGTTAATAAACATGGTATAATTCCCAACAAACAATAAGTATATACGTTCGTTTGTTAGAATAAAGCTACAGAGACACGCGAGACGCAATAAATATGATAAGAGACTTTTTTTCAGTTGGTATCTCGAATCACAACACTGTGCGCCGATTTACGTGCATTTCCGAGCGGTTCGGTTTTAATGCAAATAGAACTAGGTAGTCTCCGAGCCACTCGCAGAACTTGACAGTGGATTTTCTAGGGATCGTTATCGAAGTAAGAGGACCACGTCGGCCGATACCGTCTGCGTCTCGCGCTGGAGAATTGAAAACGTTGCGCGTATGCATTATGCAGGCCGCTTGCGGGACGAAAAGATTGCTCTCTTAATTTCCATGCATTTTTAAATGGAACGCCGGGGCTGGCTTCTCGAGACTTTGCCAGTACAACTTTGCTTCGTTTTGTCAATTTCTTCGGGTAACTTTCCAGAAATTTATACCTCGAATTTAAATTCTTGTAATTCTCGCTGCTATCTTGGAGATCTTTGGGCGACTATTTGATTAATGCTGAAGAGGAACTCGCGAGTTGGAACTCGCTCCAATTTACATTTCTGTAAACGGGGACCGCTTCTCTTGAATTAGAAACCGGCAGCAAATTATATTTAACCTTCCGCGAATCGTGCGAGGTCAAATTAATCTCGGCGGTTTTAAAACTGTTGTTATCGATAATAAATCGTTTATTTTTAAAACATCAATGGTGCTCTCGTTCAACTCTATCCTTATTACAAAAACAATGAAGCACCTGCAAATGGATAATGATCAGAGTTTAATTAACCCCACGTGGTTTATTCATACGATTCGCGGTAGGTCAAGGAAAATCATAGTTATAGTTAATCATAGTTATTGAATTCGTGGACTACACAAGAACCGAACAGTATTTTGAAGATCTATCTTCGGTAATATAAATATTATTTAACGTTAAAGAATTGTTCTAGTAATATTTCGAATAAATATATATCGATTAAGCTTGAACTTAGACAAAGTCGAATTCTTTGATCGAACGAAGACAAATATCATTTATTGCAGCGTCGAAGTTCTAAACAAAATCATGTTTACGCGTTCGTTCCGTACATGGTAATTTAGTAACATTTGTTATTAATGCAAATAGAGATGCATTTCATATTACTGGATCGTGTGAAATACCAGTTATACCAAACAATCTCTCCTCCGAAGCAATTAAACATATAGCAGACGCGACGTTGGAAATAGTATTACAATCGCGGCAAAGCATGATTAGAATTAATTTGGTTACTGGTTGAGATAACATATTCAATTTTGTCCTCGTTAATCCTACTGTTTCGAGTCAGTTGCTATTGAACGCTGCTGTTACTATAACAATTACTGTGTCAACGAACGTCGTGTTTGTAATTGAATTACAACGTTACATAAAAAGCAAATGGGATGATATTACGACAAATATATTGGACAAACTAATAATTTTTTACTTTTTATTCGTTGTTCTTCTTTATTTATTACGTATCGCCTCTGGTAACGTTGCGACGATGAAATAAATGTTTTCCTTCCTCGTTCAAATAGCATTTACATTTATTAAACGCGTCTTGCCGAAAAGTGTAAGCGTGAACTTAAATACCGACGCAACCGTAGGTGACGCTTGTTGTAAGAGAAGAACAACAAAAATGACTCCGCGATTTGTTCGCCGCGATGCATTCTAAGGCGATTCACAGTGCAATCATCGCGACGCACGGAAAATCCCTCGCAAGCTCGCAGTCGACGTTCCCGGGGAAAAAGTTACGAGGAGTTTTCGGTCGTGCGAGAGTAAGAAGTCGGTCAGCGCCGCGGATTCGCCGAGCTGCTGGGGCGGAATGAGCACCGTCGAAGACGGAATACTCACCAAAGGGCCAGCTGGTAATGCAGAATCGCATGGTTCGGCTGCGACATATCTCTGAGGAAGTTGGCGAAGTTGTAATGCATCTTGGCGTTGTGGGGTAGAGACCGCATGCCCGCTCTGCAACAACAGGACTTCGGGTCAGACAAAACCGCCCTCTCGACCCCCGACACGACCCCGAGTTCTTTCTCTTGTCAGCGCCGTTATCTACGATAGTTACGTTTCGTATCGTCGCGCACGGCCCAATTGCACCCGCGGCAACTTTCGGTCATAGGTGCGAGTGCGGGCCTGGCGCGGTGCCACGAGCGTTGTTCGAGCCCTGACGGAAAGCCCGCCGTAAATCTTCCGGGAATTACTTCGCGATTTCTTGAATCCGAACACCGTCGCGCCGCGTCGGACCGGACCCAGCCGAGCCGAGCCGAGCCGAGCCGCGCCGTGAACAGGCTCGCTCTCGCCTCGATGCGAATGACTGCCGAGGAAATTTTGATGACGCGAGAATCCTCGACTTCCGAAGTCGTTTCCTTTCTACCCGGGAATCCGTATGGAATCTCGGCCGGGATTTGTGCCTCCATTTTAACCTCCATTCTCGCCGAGATTCCACTTGTAGATTGTACTAGGATTTTCGCGCCAGTGGGCTGCACGGTACATTACTATGTTCGTGTGACTGCCTCTTATTCGAGTCCGCCCACGAACCGAATCGGTCGAAACTCCGTTTTTTCGTTTCTTTTAAATGTTAATGTCAAAACGCCTCTTCGACCTTTAGCTTCTTATACTTTATGTAAATTCGAGTTTTCAACGTCACGAAATAACAAAAATTTCACTGGCAGTGGTAGACTATTTATCATCGTTAGTATATCGTATAGATATTCTATGACCGATTTTGAATGCGAGTCTCCGTGTATGCTCGCCGCAAATGTATCAAGCTACGCATTCATGCTAAAATATTACTAACACACCAACCTGAGCAAAGTCTCCCTGGATGTCCAATCTCTGTTCCGAAGGACCGTTTTGTAGCATCCTAAGATCAGAAGAAGCGCTATTCCAGCTGTTATCAGACTTCTTCTGCGTGGAACGGCCGTCCAGGTGATTTGCATCCCGTAAACAACGAGAAGGATCCATCCAACGCTGTAAATTTATTATTTTCTCCGTTTCGTTCAAACCTGTTGTACTTCATTCTCATTCGCACTACTCTAACTTACTTAGCAATAAAAGAGTTATCGACTCTTTGTAAAAATAATACAAGAATAGAAAGAACAATCTCCGACTAATCGAATGTTCGGACAACCGCTGTAGCTACTTGAAAAACGTGGTTCGTAAAGTGGGGGTCGTATTGGCCCGATTAAAACGGTCGATGCATATATTTGAAAATTGCAGCATAATGCTATATTTTTAAGATGACTGTACGATGCAGGGTGTACGTTTGAAAAAACTTTAAATATAAATATCTCGAAAACAGTACATTTTCGAGACAAATGTGATAAACAAAAGTTACTTCGATTTCAAGGGAGAAATACAACTATTTTATTTATTTTTTCGTCGTTCGTCGCTTCGAAGATTATTTGGAGGGTAACTTCGACTCTCTAAATGAAATATATATTAAATATAAATTATAAATTATATATAAATGTATATTTTTATTTACAGATTTTTATTCTACGAGAAATAAGACTAATCTTTTGTATGCAATATTTCTTAATCAGATTTGAACTTACAAGGAAATTTAGTCGAATAGAAAATTTGTTCGCTTATGAAACATCTTAATTTTTTTAATCTTTTTTATAGAAGGGATAATATATCAAATGAGGAGTCAATATTACCTGGGCATGTATAGCACTCGCTCCGCGACGACGAATCCGACAGTTATAAAAAGATTGGATGCGGGCAGGAACGGCAGTACCAGGAACATCCAACCAAGAAGAAGAGGCGGGTGCCTCTGTTGCTGGAAAATGAAACAGAGATTACAGTTTTAGACGCATGTGGCGTAAAAATGGTCTGCCTTGGAACGAAATTGCCTTGGCGTTGCCGAGGAATGCGACGCCAGCAATTGACCGTGTCTTAAATGAACTTTATTTATACGAAGAGAAAAACATTGTGTTCGCTCACTTGAGTTCTTCGAAAGGGTTCAGAATTTTGCTACGAACGTCCCTCAAGTACTGCAAGGAAGGAAATTGTATGCTCATTGTGCTGAGAAGTTTCAATATACAGAGATTCGAGGCTTTCATGATCCCCGAGGATTGGAGATTTCGCGATAGACTCTGTATCTATTTGGTATAATTATCCCAACGTTTGAGTAATATCGCAGCTGGCTTCGCGAGTATCAGCGAAACTGATTCGGCATACCATTTGATCAATCGACGAATATAATAGCAATTATAGCAGAACGTAGAGATAACTTCGAATGGCCTCGAATTGAGATCGAAAACGTCGATACCGAGTATCTTATAATCGTTGTTATGCGTCTTTAAAAGTTGAATCTTGAGTAACCTGGCGAAATTCAAACGTTGTTCGATACAATCGACGAGAAGAACTTATGGATCCGTGGGAATTAAATTCCCGAAACGATAGATTGAAAGAAATCCCTGCGGGCGCCGATCCGATTCGATAGATGCCAATCGAACGAAAGGAAGTGCACCCATTCGGAGACAATACTCGATATCGTATTTTCATTATAATATATATTAATATATTATAATATTTATTATAATAAATAGAAAAAATTTGAAACTAGACAAACCGTTTCGCAGCATTTTGGTCAAAAATATTGAGAAAAAAAACGGTACGACGGAATGGAATGCTGGAACAGTCGGTAGAAACGGCGCCGAATCAATCATTTATCGACCAGGAGAGAAATAGTGCCGGGATGATTCTGTGAGGATGAAGACACGACTCGCTCGACTGACTCTTCTTTTGTGTGTCGCCGGGGGGTGTCTCGTTCGCGCTCGGACGTCAGGAATTTAACGAGCGGATCGTGGAATGGGAGGATCGTAAAGCGCCCGGAAAACACGTCGACGACGAGGACAGGGTTTTTTTGAGCTACCGACTACCAACTGAAGGATGGACAGCAGAAATCACGCAACAACCGAGCTGGATTAAAGTCTCCGGAAACGAGATCAGACCGGCTGGCTTCGTTCGGAACTGATCGAGGAGGGTTGTTTCTTGGCGTCCCTGGCGGGCAACTGTGTTTGGACACGTTGCCGGGGATCGAACATTCGCCGACGTTCGACAATGAGACTTTAGCATTATTTTATTTCGTTGCGCAGGCCTTTGGCAGCATCGAACAGCAAATATACTAATTCGGAGACAAATGTTGTTGCATAACGGTATTTTCATATAACGGAACAACAAACGGTTTCGATTCGATTTTAATTAATACTTGCGACAAAATCAAAGAAGATTAACGAAGCTCGTTTTGTTTAGAGGTAACTGCATGCATAGAATGAAAATCAAAAAGACAATATTTAATAGAGCGAAGGAACAAAGTAGTTAGTAAATAAGAAAGTAAGAGACAATTATATTCGGTAAATTCAGTAAATCCGGCGGTGAATTCTCCACGGTACAATGTATCCAAAGAGATGCACAGTGGTGAAAATATTCATGAAAAATACGATAAATATGCGGGTGCAGCTGAAACATCAATTCACGCGCGCATCAAGGCGAACAAACATGGCCGCGTGAAACGTGAACGTATCGAGGAGGAATCAGCGCCCACGGAGGAAATACGCGCCACGGAAGGGAAGCAAAGAGAACCGGCAGGGGGCGAGGGGCGTAATACTCCATCGGAGAATGGAAAAAAGAACGATATAGGTTTTGCGAAAATACAGGAGACAGCACGCAAATCCTACCGGGTTTCGATGCGATGACTAGATCGCATTGCTTTATGTAAAATAATAGAAATTGTCTGTGCATCGATTGGAAAAGGCAAGAACCAAACAAAAATTGCATTCTCTCTTTAATCATTTTAACGCGAGTTTCAACTGATATGTTCATATTCTGAAACCTCCTACGGTGTCCATAAAAGCTTAGAAGTAAAAACTGATGGAAGATGAGCATCCGAAGAGATAGAGTTTAAATTTTGGAAAATGATAGGGCTAATTCGTGGCGAGCGATGTATACGATGCGAAAGAATGGATGAGAAATGGATCGATCCCAAAGAAGATAGAAAATCGTATGAGAGAAATCTGGAAAGCAGAAAACTAAACAACGTAAGGGATCAGCTGCTATAGTCGGTAGGGGTGCAATGTACCACCAGGAGCATTTGTCAAACACGAGAGATAAGGGTCGACAGAAAGGTTTCCTCATAAACTGTCCCAATTCTTCAAAAAAATAAAATAGAAGGTAAGACCCCAGAAGAACCTTTGTAACTCAACACAGGACATAAAATATGGGAAGGTAACAATGCCCAGAAAAGAATGATACGTTTTACGTGACAATGAATGAAGCTGAACGAACATTTCCTGTATCATATAAAAGTAATTCTATTATACGGTCGCAGATATCTTGGAGATATCATATTGTTTTTGCTTATAGTTTGTTGCACGTATCGTTTGTTTAATTAGCAGTCGTCTTAACGACTTTATACTTGCAGCGTTCGTTTGATGCATTTTTCTCTACATCTTATATTACACTTTTATAAACAGCTATAACTATCAACAACAAAAAATGCTAAAATAGTCTTGAGGTATGTACGATAGTAAAATAACTCGCTTACGTTAATATAATTCAGGAGATATTAAAGAACGATTTGCGAACCATCGCGTTAATAAATTTTCAGCTTGAGCGTTCACTCACTCAACAGGTCATTCTAATAGTTAAGAAGCACCAAAAATTCCGATAAGCACAGTTTATTTTCGAATATCTTCTTATCCGATCCGATGTCTTGCGAACTGTGTGTACGAAGTTTATAAAACGATTGGAAGCATCGAGACTGGGGCAAACGTCAGCCGACTCGATGGATACAGAGAGCCAAGTACTAAAAAATAATGTGCGAATGGATGGCACGCCAGCGAGCGAACAGACATTAAATGTGTCAGCCGCTGCCAGCGCTCGAAGCCGCGCTGATTCCACGGAAAACGTGGAATCGTCTATGACAACCGGTGGAACGCGTGCCGCGAAAATAGGAGATGAAAACACGGCGCATCAGTCAAGCGAAGTTGACACATCTGAAGTGCAATCTACCGCAAACATCCACGTTGGCGCAGCTGCGATTATAAGATACGACGCGTCGACAGGTGGTGCTAATCAGGACAAAATCGAGATACGGTGTTCCACCGAGGATTCGTATAGATTAGCTTCCGGCTGTGCTTCACCGGATCCCGTAATTGTGGGCAAAAATTACGCGCTCCCTGGCGCATCCGATCAGGAATATTCCAGTGAAAATGCAAGGGCGAACCGTTTCTCTGAATCGAAAGTAACGAAGCCATTAAATGCCAGTGAAAGTCAAATGAAGTCCGACGAGGGAGCTGGTATTATCTCTTCCGATAGGTACGTCGAGACAGATGGAGACTGCGGTTATAGGAGAACATGAAAATGGACTCGATGGAAGTTCGGTGGATTCCTTTTAGTCATCCGGATAATTGGAAGCAACCGGAGTCTAATTAGGGGACGACGTGGGACAGAATATAAACATTGAGGAGGCATCGAGTACATATGAAACGGATACGAGAAGTGGAAAATATTAGTTTCTCCTGAAACAAATTATGGTTCTGGCACGTGCTATACGACTGAGTTTAACCCGTTGGAGACAAGAAATGTTATTGATGTGTTATGTATATTCGTGTATTGTAAAGAAAATGGGATTCATTTCTCCTAATAGGCGCACGAAATACATAGGTGGGACACGTATATCCTGATAGACTCCAAAGGGTTAAGTTTGTCACGCTAACACAAGATTATATGTCACTATATATGACCTAATACGATGGGGAGATAACTAATATAATAATGAAACGTTAATCATAATCATTGATCAAATTAATTAAATCGTTGGTACATTTGTTGAACCTGAATCGGATGAAACAAATATTTGATCAAAGAATTTGGAACTCCCAAACCGCGCTAACCAGTCTATGTTAATAATTACTTAAGTTTTCAGTTATAGATTTTAATTATAGATCACCGGAAGAGAAAATATCTCGCGCGAAGTAATTTATGAATCAAGGTTGCTGCGAATCCAAGTTATCAATTAAGGATAAACATTCGTGTTCTACCTGGATGGAACTGGCTGACGCGAGATGGTTTCAAGCATTGCAGTTTAATTTTCTTGGTAATAGTGATATTTCAATGGAGGCTGATATATCACGTGCTGCAATTAATCAAACGGCGGAAGAAGAATTGCCGGAACATTGTGTAGCCGAGCATGGTCTGTTCGAACGCAGGAGTTCCAATATGATTGGTAATCTGTTATCTATGGACGCAGAAGGAACAAAGTGGACGATTTCAATTGGGGCGAATGCAGCCGAAACAGGTCGAAACTGTTTCAAAACTGTTGTCGAATCTATCGACAAATACATGATCGACGAACGTGATCGTACATAAAAATAAGACAGATACGAGATTTACAATATATAACGTGCTTATTAAATGTAAACAAACCGTACTAAACCTATGTATGCATTAAACTGCAACATTATAAGTACCGATTGTCAACAACTATACAAATGTGACGCAAGGCTCGAATAATCGTATCTCCTCTTCCCGAATCGTCCAGTTTTGTGCGCAATTTCAGCGCACGAAATGCGATTTGGGGAGAAATTGCTGTAGTTTCGAAACGAATTCACGAAAAGCCATTGGAAATGTGGATCGGGCGAACAGATTAAACGTTACCAATTATTAAATGAGCGATAGATCTTCGGACGAAGACAAATCGTGGCTAGATTGCTTAAATACGCAGGAAACTGCGAAAAGGGGCCAAGCGTGAATATCATAGCGACTGAGAGTAAC